TTGCAGAAAAAGTTTTATAGTGTCTTTATTGTTATCTGCCTTTGGTTTTCTGAATCAAGGACTCTTAACCTATACATCAGCTGTCTTCAAAATTTGGCCATCTTCTTTGCTTATCTTCAATATTTATCATTTCTTTATTTTTTAATTTAAAATGTCATTTGATCTTCTAGTTCTCATCAGGCACTACCTGTTAACCTGTTATATTTTTTATTTTCTGAAATGCTGTAATATTTTTCCTGTTTCTAATTCTTTGCCATGTTATTTCACTTCTAAATTTATTTTCTTTCATATTTGTATCATTTTCTTCATATATAGTTGCATATTGCCATGTCCATATGCTGCATAAAGTTATTCAAAACAAAACCCACGTGGCCAATAATCACAACATTTCATAATCATTTCAGGCCATCCTAATTTCTTTATTGCTTTTCCTGCCTTCTCCATCCCAACTTGGAATACTTGTTCAAGGGTTAAATCTTCCATGCCTATGAGGTTGCAGCTCAGGCGTAGCGTGCTAGCCTAGCCTCCTGAGGCCCAAGGTTTGATTCCCAGCTCCACAAAACCAACCAGCCGACCAACCTTTCTCACTGCTGATTTGAAAAACAAGTTTGCAAAGGAAAACCATTCTAGTTATACGCCAGCATGACTTTTCCTTATTTTGAATTCATAATCATACTCACAGACTTGAGGCTTTCAAGCATTTCATTAAAGTCTTCCTTGAACCAGGTTATTAGTTCACAAGGGCAAAACTATGGAAATATGTGAGGCGCTATGTATAGTTCACACGAAGGGGAAATAATGAATGAGCTAAGGTTCTGGGGAAGGCACCAAAACTGTTGGACATGACCAGGGTCTTCCTACAACAGAAAATAAATGAAAAAAATTACCTGTGATTTAGACAATGGGCTTGAGGAAAAGCAGTTCTGATAAAACAGAAGGCCTGTGTACACAGAAGCAGAGATTTTACAGACACAGGGTAGCTCCAGTTTAGTCAAGCTTTTAAATAAGCAAAACTTCCCTTCCCTTCCTTCACATTTGAAAATCTCTGCATTCAGTCGTTCCATCTTCATGTATGCCCAGGTAGAAGCACACTGTTTTCACCTTCTCAGAAACAAATTTTAATTGGAATGAATTCGGGCAGACAGAAGCAACAAGTCCTGTGTTTTGAGACTAACACAAGTCTTGGCTTCCAAAATCCAACCGGGGCCTTGGGTCTTGGGCCCTCTCTTCGGAAATTCTCCTCATGCTCATCCGCAGTTCATACCGGGCAAACCTGGGCGCAACCCACAGTATTATTTCTAGAGGTGTCTGGTCTCAGATTTCATGACACTTGTGAAGGGGAGCTGAAGGGATCTTGACAGGCATCCAAGAAGCAAGGCCTCCCACGCACCGCAGAGGAGCCCAGAGCCACACTTCCGCCCGCCGGGCTCCGCCCCGCCGCCCCGCGGGGCC